GATTATGTACTAGCCCTTACGTATTTACAAAAATAATGAAACCAGTCATACACAAATTAAGGTTGCAAGGAATGCTGCTGGTATTATATTTAGATGATTTCTTATTTATTCATAAATCAAAAGCTGCTTGTTAGAAAAATGTGGCAAAGACCATTCAATTTCTAGAGCATTTAGGCTTCATCATAAATTATAAAAAGAGTTCACTCTTAGCACGACAACAGTGTAAATATTTAGGTTTTATTATTGATTTAAATAGTTTTTCTCTAAACTTGACATATAAAAAGAAACATCAAATATTGCAACTTGTAAGAGAATTTAAGGTAGGACGAATGTATAAAATCAGAAAATTTGCAGAGTTTTTGGGAGTTTTAAGTCCAGCGTGCCCAGCTGTAGCTTATGGTTTCATTCATTGTAAACGCCTGGAAAGGCAGAAATTTCTAGCTTTGAAATTTAACGGTGACAATTATGAGGAAAAAATCTTAATATCTGAAGGTATGTCAGAAGATCTTAATTGGTGGCAAATAAATACTGTCATTGGATCAAATCCAATTAGAACACAAGTTTATTCAATGGAAATATTTTCCGATTCTTCATTGTCAGGCTGGGGCTGTTATTGTAACGGTTCAAAAACGTATGGGTTTTGGAATAAGAAAGAAGGAAAAAATCACATTAATTATCTTGAGCTGTTAGCAGCATTTTTTGGAATAAAATGTTTTGCTTCAAAATTATCGCAATGTGAAATCTTACTTCGTTTGGATAATACAACGGCGATTTCATATATTAATAAAGCGGGTGGCGTACGATTTCCAAAATTGAGTAAATTGTCAAGAAAAATTTGGGAATGGTGCGAAGGGAGGAAAATTTGGTTGAGGGCATCCTACATTCCATCTGCTGAGAATACAGAAGCTGACAATGCGTCGCGTCAAATTAATATAGATGCTGAATGGGAACTATTTCATCATGCATTTACAAGCATACAAAACCAATTTGGTTCTATTTCAGTGGATTTATTTACATCCAGGATAAATAAAAAATGTAAAAAATTCTTTTCTAGATTTTCAGATCCAGAAGCTTCGGCTATAGATGCCTTTACTATGTCATGGAAAAATGAATACTTTTATGCTTTTCCTCCTTTCGCACTCATTCTGCGCACGCTAAGAAAAATTATTAACGATAAGGCATTAGGCATTGTTGTAATACCATTATGGCCCACACAACCTTGGTACCCCCTGTACACTTCACTACTCGTGGAACCTCCTATAATATTAGAACCTGATCGTAACTTATTGACATCTCCTTACAGAGACAGGAACCATCCACTAGCATCCCACCTTTCACTAGTGGCAGGCAAGTTATCTGGTCAGGGTATCTCAAACAAGGATTAACCGAGGAAGTTGCGGACGTTATGGTTAATTCTATTACTAATTCAACATTAAAACAATACGAGTGTCATCTAAGAAGTTGGTGGGAGTTCTCTCATTTAGAGAATCTTGATATCTATAATGCAAAAATTATGGATATTATTAAATTTTTAAACAAACGTTACAAAACCGGTGCAAATTATAGTACGCTAAACACCGCTCGTTCCGCAATTTCCTTAATTTCACTTTATGATATTAATAAAGATAGTCTGATATCTCATTTCTTAAAAGGTGTGTTCAAACAAAGACCACCAAAACCGAGATACGCAACAATTTGGGATGTCACTTCAGTTCTCAATTATATTGAAAATTTGCATCCATTAAAAGGTTTAAAATTGAAGGATGCTGCAGAAAAAGTTGTCACCTTATTAGCGCTAACAACAGCTCAGAGGCTGAAAACCCTGGCACTGATAAATATAGATAACATAAACAAATCTGATACAGGGATAAATATTAAAATCACAGATCACATAAAAACATCAAAAGTAGGAGTTTTTCAACCAGAATTAATATTGCCGTTTTTTAAAGAGAAGCCACGTTTGTGTGCAGCCACTGCAGTTTTAGATTATCTAGATTGTACTAAAGATTTGAGAAATAGTGTCAAAAGATTGTTTATTGCCACTGTGAAGCCTTTTGGTACAGTGTCGTCACAAACTATTGGTCACTGGATCAAAACATTGCTAGGCAAAGCTGATGTGAATACAGAACTTTTCACAGCATATAGTACTCGACATACAGCAGTTTCTAAAGCTCATAAACGAGGAATAGACATCTCAATTATAAGACGTAGTGCTTGGTGGTCACCCAATTTACAAGTATTTTATAAGTTTTATAATAAGCCCATTGAAAATTTCAATGACCAATTTGCTCGAACCATCCTAGAGTAATTTTTATGAATTTGTAAACGTTAAAAATAAAAATAAGTAGGTAAACAGGAGAATTATCACTCCATCTCTAAAAATCTACAATATACTATCATCGACAACGAGACACACAGTATAATTGTATGATCAAAATTATATGAAGTGTCTCATTCGAAGATGATAGTCTCCCTCCCTTACTTAACCCCCAAATCAGTTCCCGCTATCATCTTCAATAAAAGTCGTGATAATTCAAAGGACAGTACACAAAACAATATGAAGTTGGAGAGGCTAATGAGAGTGTGAAGTTGGCAGA